CCCAGGCTGCAGTGCAGTGGCACAATCTCGGCTCACTGCAACCTCCACCTCCCAGGCTCAAGTGATTCTCCTGCCTTAGCCTCATGAGTACCTGGGACTAGAGGCATATGCCACCACACCCGGCTAATTTTTGTATTTTTAGTAGAGACAGTGTTTCACCATATTGGCCAGCCTGCTCTTGAACTCCTGACCTACGTGATCCACCCGCCTCAGCCTCCCAAGGTGCTGGGATTACAGGAGCGAGCCAACGCACCCAGTCTTTTTCTTTTCTTTTCTTTTCTTTTTTTTTGACAGGGTCTCGCTTTGTTGCCTAAACTAGAGTGCGGTGGTACAATCATGGCTCACTGCAGCCTCAACCTCCTGTGCTCAAGTGATCCTCCCACCTCAGCCTCCTGAGTAGCTGGGACCATAGACACATACCACCACACCTGGCTAATTTTTTTTTTTTTCATTTTTTGTAGAGACGGAGTCTTGCTACGTTGCCCAGGCTGGTGTCAAACTCCTGGGCTCATGCAGTCCTCCTGACTTGGCCTCCTTAAGTACTAGGATTATAGGCGTGAGCTGTTGAGACGCTCCCATCCTCCAACTTTTATCCCACAATCTATTGTGCCTCCTTTGAGCAGTGTCCCTGGATAGACAGTGACTTCCCCTCAGGTACCTGGGGAATTTGGGGGCCTCCTCTCCACTGAAGACCAGATTAGATAAGAGAGACTCCACCTCACACTCTAGAGCGCCATCCCCACAAATGAACAAATGAGTGAATGGGATGCCTGTTGAAAAGGCAGGGTATAGACAGCCTGGGGTCAATTTTAGCTTCACCACCTCCCAGCTGTGTGACCTCAGCTGATTTGCATGACCTCTCTGAGCCTCAGCATCCCCACCCTGGAAAATGGGAATCCACACAGCATCCCCTATCGCAAAGGAGCAGGGAGGGGTGTGAGGGGCTTGTGGGTGAAAAGCACGGAGCACAGCCTGGGCCCCAGTGAGCCCTGGTCCATGAGAGCTGCTAGCATAATAATTATTCTCTCCGTGTGCTGCACAGGGTGGCCCCGGAGGCCTCAGCAGAAATAACAGAAGCTCCCGGCCCTTTACCCTGGTGATGATGGTCCTGACCACTCACTGTGGGAGGATGCTATGGGGCCAGGAAGGGATGGGGGTGCTAGAACTGCCCCCGGACCCTGATGGGGCCAGGCTCCTGTGGGCAAGGCCCCTTCCCGGTGGCCCAGCCGGCTCTGCACCCACTCCCCAAGCCTGCAGGACCGCTTACCGTCTTGGGACTGCTCCGAGCTGTTGAACATGCTGGCAAAGGCCAGCCTGGGGGCCACCTCGCGGGCGTTGATGACCTCAGCTTTTCCTAGAAGGAGAAGCAGGTAGGCAGGCAGACCCATGCCGCGTGAGCCCCGGGAACCACCCAGCTGTACCTTGGCCCAACCCACACCCCCTGCCCTTCTCCCTCGCCTCTCCCAAGGCACTCACGCGTGGTGCTGTTGTAGATGGTGAAAAATAGGCCTCCCCCGATGCCCATGCTGTGGGCATTCATGAGCCCCACACACAACAGGGCTGCAATGGCTGCATCCACCGCAGAGCCACCGTCCTGCAGTGCGTCCCTGCCATGTGGCACATAAAGACGTGAGAACCTGCAGGCTTCCATCCTGGCCCCACATTCACACCCTGCTGCCCACCTGCCTAACGGAGGATGGAAGAGAAGTCCATTCGAGTTTGGTTGTTTTTTTTTTTTTTTGAGATGGAGTCTCACTCTGTTGCCAGGCTGGAGTGCAGTGGCACAATCTTGGTTCACTGCAACCTCCGCCTGCCAGGTTCAAGTGATTCTCCTGCCTCAGCCTCCCGAGTAGCTGGGACTACAGGCACGCGCCACCACACCCAGCTTATTTTTGTATTTTTTAGTAGAGGTGGGGCTTCACCTTGTTGGCCAGGATGGTCTCGATCTCTTGACCTCATGATCAGCCTGCCTTGGCCTCTTTTTTTTTTTTTTTTTTCTTGAGACATAGTTTCTCTTTGTTGCTCAGATTAGAGTGCAGGGGTGTGATCTCAGATCACTGTAGCCTCAATCTCCTGAGCTCAGTTGACCCTCCCATCTCAGCCTCCCAGGTAGCTGGGACTATGGGCACATGCCACCACGCCCGGCTAATTTTTTCTGTTTGTTTTGCTTTTTGTAGAGATGGGGTTTTGCCATGTTGCCGAGGCTGGTCGAGAACTCCTGGGCTCAAGTGATCCACGCACCTTAGCCTCTCAAAGTGCTGGCATTACAGATATGAGTCACTGCATCTGGCCTTTGTTTTATGAGACAGAGTCTCACTTTGTCACCCAGGATGAAGTGCAGTGGCATAGTCCCGGCTCAATGCAGCCTTGACCTCCTGGGCTCAAGCAATCCTCCCACTTCAGCCTCCTGAGAAGCTGGGACTACAGGTAAAAACCACTGCTCTGGCAATTTTTTGTCTTTTTTGTAGAGACAGGGTCTCCCTATGTTGCCCAGGCTGATCTCGAACTCATGATCTAAAGCAATCCTATCACCTCAACCTCTCAAAGTGCTGGGATTACAGTTCCTCTTCTTCTTTCTTTTTTTTTTTTTTTTCCTTTTTTTTTCTGAGACGGAGTTTCACTCAGTCACCCAGGCTGGAGTACAGTGGTGTGATCTTAGCTCACTGCAACCTCTGCCTCCTGGGTTCAAGTGATTCTCCTGCCTCAACCTCCTGAGTAGCTGGGATTACAGGCTCACGCCACCATGCCCAGCTAATTTTTTGTATTTTTAGTAGAGAAGGAGTTTCACCATGTTGGCCAGGCTGGTCTTGAACTCCTGACCTCAGGTGATCCACCCTCCTCAGCCTCCCAAAGTGCTGGGATTACAGGTATGAGCCACCTCGCCCAGCCAGTTTCCTCTTTTTCAAGCAAACAAATGTATATGACTTTTATAAGTGGGGCAAAAAGGGAAATTGCTATATTTTATTAATAACTTTTTTTTTTTCCTGGCTGGGGACGGTGGCTTGCACCTGTAATCTCAGCACTTTGGGAGGCCAAGATGGAGGATCACTTGAGGCCAGGAGTTCAAGACCAGCCTGGGAAATATAGTGAGACCTCATCTCTCCAAAACAGTCTTTTTTAATTAGTCAAGTATGATGCACACCTGTAGTCCTAGTGACTCAGGAGGCTGAGGTGGAAAGATGGCTTAAGCCCAAGAGTTCAAGGCTGCAGTGGGCTATGATCATGCCGCTGCACTCCAGCCTGGGGGACAGAACAAGACCCTGTCTCAAAAAATCAAAAACACAACATTTGTTCTGTTTAAGCCTTTAGGAGGGAACTGATCATTGTATATAACACAAGATAGAAGTCTAAACAGTAGAGGCCAGGTGCTGTGGCTCACACCTGTAATCCTAGTACTTTAGGAAGCTGAGGCGGGAAGATCACTTAAACCCGAGAGTTCGAGGCTGCAGTGGGCTGTGATTGCTCCCCTACAATCCAGCCTGGGCAATACAGTAAGACTACACCTTAAAAAAAGAAATAAGCTGGGTGTGGTAGCTCACACCTGTAATCCCAACACTTTGGGAGGCCGAAGCAGGTGGATTACCTGAGGTCAGGAGTTCGAGACCAGCCTGGCCAACTAGTGAAACCCTGTCTCTACTAAAAATACAAAAATTAGCCAGGCATGGTGGCACATGCCTGTAGTCCCAGCTACTTGGGAGGCTGAGGCAGGAGAATCAGTTGAACCTGGAAGGTGGGGGTTGCAGTGAGCTGAGATTTCACCACTGCACTCCATACTGGGTGACAGAGCAAGATTCTACCTCAGGGGAAAAACAAACAAACAAACAAACAAACAAACACAAAAACACAAAAATTAGCTGGGCGTGGTGGCGCACGCCTGTAATTCCAGCTATTTGGGAGACTTAGGCATGAGAATTGCTTGAACTCGGTTGGCAGAGGTTGCAGTTAACTGAGATTGCACCACTGCCCTCCAGCCTGGTGACAGACCGAGATTCGTCTCAATAAATAAATAAATAAATAAATAAATAAATAGAAATAAGTAAAAATAACAACCAAACAACAAAACGGAGTTTATCCAAAGAGACAGAGACTCTTAGAACTGAGAAAAGGGGCCCTGTTGGGTTCTAGGAGACCCACACCCTGCTCTTGGGGTCACCGTCCCCTTCCCAGAGGCTACTGAGAGAGTCCAAGCAAAGCTTACATGTGGGGAAACTGAGTCTTACAGGGGCAGAGGTATTGTCCAGGTCCACTTGCCCGGTTTCCAGGGCCCATGACCCCATGCCCTGCCCTGCTCACCTCCCAATCTCGGAGCAGTGCTTGGCATCCGCAGCCACGGCAGCCCTGGCGTACACATGGTTGTCAGGTTCCTTGGAGGCCAAGGGCAGCAAGAGACAGAGGCCAACAATGTCCACGGCCAGCAGGCCCAGCACCACTAATTTCTTCATGGCTCTGCTGCACCCACGGGGTAAGGAGCAGGGTCAGGCCCAGCCTCAGACACACCCACAACTGAGCCTAATCTAGGCTGAGCTGAGCAGCTTCCCAGGATGCAGCAGAGAGAGGAGTATGAGGAAGAGGTAGACACGGCAGCCACTCTGGTTTCCCTGTTAATCCTCCAATCCAGCTTGATGGCTTTGTCACCACAACCCCAGAGCCACAAGGGTGAAACCAGAGCACAGCCCCAACCCCATTCACAAGCAGGAAACTGAAGCTTAGACAAAAGGCATTTACTGAGGTCAGTTGGCCCCAGGAGGTCTCAGACCTGAGGGTGAGCCCAGCCCCCAGCATGGAGTCACTACCCCTGGGTATGAGAACGCACAGATCTCTGGGGCTTCCCCAGGCCTGTCTACACCCCTGGACCGGATGCTTACCACCCAGACCTGGAGTTGGAATCTGTCTCCCACACTGTCTACCCTTGTGGTGCAGCGTTGAGAAT